AGTGTTCCTGAGGGGGACCACGGCTTTTTGCTTAAACATACAGTAAAAATGCAGTATCTCGGCAGTGGTAAGCTAGCAGCACGAACTTTTTCCAGAGGATTCATAGATCATTAGGATCTACATGATGCGCATATGCTCAACTCAAAAGCGATGTGACAGTTGGGAATGTTCCCTCGTTAGTCAATGAAAAATAGGCCGACATTTAAGCAGGAACTTTTGCGTCGCTCATTATATGTCGAAAAGTAAAAATAATAAAGTGTAAAATTGTCGAAATGTATGTTCTTATGATAGTTCTGATATTTGAAATTGCAAGTGCGGAGAATAGAAACAATAACAGTCAATTATTCAAACAAAGATGATACTATCAGTCAATTGGTAAAGCATATAGTGAGAGTGTGAGTGTAGACATGAATGCATGTGTTCTCTTCACTCTCATCTATTCACACTCACGCCCATATCTACTTTGCTCTTCATTAAAAACATTTTTACCTATGAGTACAAGTTCTGTAAATGAAATAACGATATTGAATTCTTTATCATCAACTAAATACTAATGTTATTTTATTTCGACGTTTGAATAAGTCAGCATTTTTATTTATCAACATCTTGTTTTTACGACATTTCTGTGTAGGACATTTTTACTTTTTGAAATTTTAATTATTCGGTATTTTTTTTGTATGGCTTTTTGACAGTTGTGTTTGCAACCAAAGTAGAGTTTACCATGTCGGTTTCATCATATATCGATTACCATTGAAGGTGATTGTTATATTTTTATTAGTTTTTACGTTCACTGAGAGATACTTCTTTTTTATCTTGAAAATTTATATAATGTACATGATAGATATTTTACGAATATTTCAATAGCAAGTTTTTCGGTTTTCTCATTGATACTTTTAATCAAAATAATATTAATACTAGTTCTAATATTGTTTTAACAGACACTTTTTTTCAATGTAAGAATTCGATAGATTAAACAATAATCTCATAATGTTTTCTTCTACTTACATTGATGTGTCTATTCAAGCCAATATTTTCATCTAACAAATGATTACTTCCTTATATACGGAAACATTTGCCTCGAAAAGAAAACTATTTAGTCACATTTTTAATGGGTACTCATGATCTGTAAGTTAATTACAAGAACATTTCATATGTATTAATACGTTGTCATAGTTTTGAAACTATTAATGGATTATTTTCAGGAAGAAAAGAACATTAGATAATCTAAAATTTCGAATGCCTCATATTCTTGCTTATTGTGTGAAGAATTTTAAATAGTATTGAACCTAGGATATCAACAAGCAATAAGTGTATTAATTGATTCAGATATTCATGATGCGTCTAATGAGATCACTGTAGTTGAACAACCCATTCATAGAACATATAAAAATACCTCATACGGAATAAAAACAAAAATTTTCACATGAAATCATTTTTGAAAAAAATGGTTTGACTGATTTCTCATATTTTGAACTTGATTGTTTTCTCATTTTAGTCAAAAAAAAAGACATGAATATATTGCTGTTGAACTTTGCAATAAGATGATTAGAATATTATGTTAAGGACGTGTATGATTTATAGTACTTTTTATTTATAGATGCACCGAGTTAGTCAAAAAAAAATAGCTACTTGTAATTTATTGGAAACGTTTGTAAATGCTGCGTCAAGATAAGACAATGATCATCTTTTATTTATTCCTTTTAGTTAATTCAACAGTGCGGAAGGAACAGATAAATACGTCGATTCATCGAATAACAATGCATAGGAATCGATCGAATATGAATAAAAATTCTTATTGTATAGTTCATTGGATTTTTCTTCCTGTAAATAAATACTAAATGATACGAAATAATTTCATTGATTTTTCAAATATAACTGAGCGAGTGATTTTATTTTGCAAATTAGACAACATAAATAAATAATGCATTGTTCTGCATGATCGAAAAACGTTTTTGAATTCAATTACCCAAAGAAGATGACACTCAACTTGAGTTCAAATCAAATCAAATATTCTCTGTAATAAATTATTTTTTGCTACATACATGACTATTGCGGGCTGTAAAAAAAAGGTTTTATGCATAGAAATTTTCGATAAGTTATGCATGAAGGATCAAGAAGTACAAAATTTCGTCAGAAAAATATTCATTCCTAAATAAACCCTAGCGATGAGAAGAAATCCATAAGCATACTTAGTTGTGACTAGGTACGAAGTGAATTTAAGATCGAATTAATGTCATTATTGCTGAGTAAATCACTTATTCAAAAGTGTTACCATATAGGCGTTGATTCAGTGCATATTTTTTTATCAATAATTTCATGTGATAATTTCAATATTTATTTAAAAAAACAATAAAAAAAATCAAACGAATGATATAAAACAGTCTCACGCCATTATTTTTCTAAAAGATATGAGAAAATCGAACATCTGCACAGGATAAATTTGTACTTTTGCATATAAAAACAAATCATAGACAAGTTTTCTGCATTTCTCTTTTATCTTTACTAGTAGATATAGGCAGAAATTTAGAGAAGTTAACGAAACAGAAATGCTACTCTCTTATTTAAGTGTCCTTTTAACTTGTGGTAAGACCATTCTTTAAGTGTTTTTTGTTTTTTTGATATTCAAATCTTTTGAGTAGGTATTGCCTTAGGACAATATGTACGCGAACATACTCCAGCTGAGCGAATGAGAATTTTGGTAAAGATATTAGATATTTGCTTTTTGTAATTTTCGATTTTAACTATTAGGGTCCCTTGGCTTTCGCTGATGCTCGTGTAACATTTAATTGTCCAGCATTAACACCATCACCAACAGTTCCAACATCAGGTTTTTATACTTGTTTTTCATTGATTAATACATGATTTTTATTATTATTAAGTTCATGCTTTACGACCAGCTGATATAAAACATATAGCATCGATGGGCGATAGTTTAACAGTATAAAAAACGAATAAAATATTTCAATTCTTCTATGTATATTTCTAGGCAGCGAATGGTGCTAAAGCATTCTCAGTTGTTGCTGTTATAGTCGAATATCGAGGTGTTTCATGGAGGTAAAGAAAATGTTCTTATTATTTTTCTAATTAGTATTTTATATTTTAGTATTGGTGGAGATGAAAATCTTCAAAAAGTCGTCACTTTAGCCAGTATGTTTATTTGATATTGTTGATTAATTAAAATAAATCTTTTTCATTTGATTTCTAGATATTTTACGCAAATTTAACAGTCAATTAGATGGTTATTCACTTGGAACTGGTAATCGAAATTCATCAAAAGCTGGTTTTAATGTTGCAAAAGCTGGTGCTGTTTCTGCGTAAATAAAATCTATTATTCAAAAAAAAAATATATATGCATATATATATTTAAAATATCTTATTCCATATTTTTTGTAGTGATATGCCCAGTCAAGCAAATCTTCTTGTTGAACGAATGACTAATGCATTAGGTGCTGCAAAATTTGCTGCAGATTGGAAATTGGTTACATTCTTTATTGGTGGTAATGATCTTTGCGGTTATTGCAAAGCTTCTATAAGTTTTTAAGATTCTATATATCTATGAAATTAGTTATTTTTTATTATTATTAGGATCGATTAAGTGTAGCTAATTATAGAAATAATGTTAAACGGGCATTAGATATTCTTAAAGCTCGAATGCCTCGTACTCTGGTTAATTTTGTAACTGTTCTCAATGTTGCTGAACTTGAAGATTTGCATGAAGGTATTCGATGTCAAACATTACAGAAGTAAGATTAAATAGAAGAACATGTATTCGAGTAGTTTTTGGATATAATAGTTTGATGTGTGACTGTGGCGTTGATAAGAAAACACGTGACCAAATACGTGTAGCAAATGTTGATTATCAACGAGAAACGACGGTATTAATTGATTCGGGTATTTATGATACATCTGATGATTTTACTGTTGTTCGACAACCATTTATGGAACATATGAAAGTACCTCTTAAGGTATATAAAAAAAACGTTTTTAAATGAAGCCATTTTTTGAATAAACTTTGTTTTTGATTGTAGAGCGATGGTTCGGCTGATTTCTCATATTTTTCACCTGATTGTTTCCATTTCAGTCAAAAAGGTCATGAAGCCGCTGCTGTTGAGCTTTGGAATAATATGGTTAGAATACTATGTTTAAAATTTGTAAATGATTTATTATATGTTTTGTGTATAGATGCAAAAAGTTGGTCATAAAACAACTACCTGGTATTTAGCGGATACACTTCAATGTCCTTCTACAGTAAGATGATGATCATTTTTTTGTTTTTTTAATTTTTGATTGATAAAACTATTTTTATTTCTTTAGGGAAATGGATATATATATACATCGAAGAACAGTGCTTGATTTTGAAAATAATCTTTCATTGATCGTTTGATTTTTATTTTCTCTATCAATAAATAAATGTGAATGAAAGGGTAATACGTTGACCCATTGAATATTTGTTTGATATTAATGATAAAATGGTCAAGGTCATCTGCTTAATTTGAATGAACAGAGAGAAAAAAGAGACAGAATAGAGATGATTTAAGAACAAAATTTAGGTTGATTCATTCATTCATTCATTCACTCGAAAAGAGTCTACTGAACAAAATGAGATATTATCTTATTTTCATCGTGCTTAGTATTTCGTATTTATTCGTTAATACACAGCCAGAAGATAGTTCAACGACAAACAGTCTTGTGCAAAATGTTACTGAAAAAGAAACAACCGTTGTTCCAACTACTGGCAAAACTACTGAGCATACAAGCTTAAACCAAACTACTAAACAAATGAACTTCGGGACAACTACGAAATATACAAATACTGATCAAACTACTCAACATACAAGTTTAGAACAAACTATAGAACAAAAAAGCTTTGACCAGACTACGAAACATACAATCTTTGACCAAACAACTGTCATATCGGATATAAAGACCACAACAAGTGTTTCAAACAAAGTATTTGTATCTTCATATGTTGAACCACCACCACATCCACTTGGCTATTGTATTCGTTCACGTTTACGTTGTTCTAAAATTCGTCGTTGTTGCACAGGAACCTGCAATGTTATCAGGATGAGATGTCCATAATACAAAGATATAATAACAAATACAAACTCCATTTCATGTTTTTTTCTAATTGATAGCAGTTCTTCATTAATATTCTGCACATTTTGTTTTCAATTACATAATAAATTTCAAATAGTCCGACTCATTCTATATGCAATAGAAGCTTTTAAGTAATAAGATCAAGTATAGAAATCAGTAGTAATTTATTCAGTCTGTAATTTTCTATTGTACTCTTACTTCACTGCTCTTTTTTTCATGTCGTGATTATCTTTTAAATAAAGAAAAAAAAATACGATTTCTTAGAGTAGCAGATCCTTGCATTCATTCGTCATCAATCTTGCTTTATTTAAATAGAAAATAGTGTATAATTAGTCCATTCAAAATCAATTGACTACAACTCTAAAGATGATTGCATATACGTTGTTCTCCTAAAAGAACTAGCCATATACTGATTCGTTAATAAGATAATCGAAAAATATTATTATTTCAATACACAGTCAAAGTAAAAAATCTCGCATCATCTTTTATTTTTAATCCGTGCATTAAAACTACACAACATCAACTTGATATAATTGTGAACCTTATAGCAAAGGTTAAGTACTAAATATATATTTGTTTAATATAAGAAACCGTTGAATATAAAATATGATGAGTAAATAGGGACTTCAGTAACAACAAAAAAATAACATGAAAAAAGACAACATGATATTCCTGTTATAAGTTTCTAAGGAATGATGATGTGTCAATGAAAATGAACAATATTTGCACACACATTTTGTCCTTGTTTAATACCGCAATGATTATAATAGTGTTTAATGTTTTCTTCTTCCATTACCTCTACTAATCTATAACATTGTATATTATGAAACACTTCTGCAATTTTCGATGCATTGTAGATTATTGCTTTGTTTACTGCTGAACTCATATATTAAAAATTAAGCACACTACACCTATTTCATTACAATCTCAATTTCTCTTTAAGAATTTGAATAACGCAAATAGAAAGCTACCACGAAATGACATGCGTACAACGACTTCTAAAGTACACTATTGATATTCATCCAATAGTTTATCGGGCTTAGTCTGTGTGATGAAAGTATTAAGACTTATAACAACCATGTCAAATCATTTTTTTTTCATGTTTTTTCTTTTATTAGTAACTAAAGTTTCTATTTATTCATCGTATTTTAAATTCAAGAATTTCTTGCATTAAACACGTACATATTCAGTACTTAATCACTTCTAGACAGGTATATAATCATATTGAGTTGATGCTGTGTAATTTTAGTATCCAACTTGAAAATAAAAAGTCTTACGAGTCTATTTACGTGGATCGTATTTTATGAAAATATTATTACTCTAAAAAAAAGCAGAAATCTCAGTTATTTGAACGATATGAAAGATATAAATATTTCTAAGAAAGACGATTCCCAAAAACAAAACAAATAATGATATTATCTTTCAAAAATTCGATTTCATTCACGTTCAACACTATTGAATTAATTGTTAACTATTTTCAATATAAAATTCTTTTTTTAACAATACATATATATTAAAAAAAAAACAGTAAAAGTCTGCCACACTTATCTATTTCATTCATGGGAAATAAATACATCTGGATTCACACAGAAGTAATGTCGTCCGATAGACAATACCATCTTTTATCCTTAATTAAAGTTTAAAAAGAATCGTGTGTTCTGTATATCATGCCTGCTGGTTTAATAGTAATATTCTGGTTATTATTTTTAAGCAATATTTTTTATACAAAACAAAAATAAATGAATCTAAGCATTGTTGAACAACTAATTATTCATACGAATGAAAATCCAAGAAGAAAAAGAATGCTTGAATCATTACTTCATACAAATTAAGTTCGACAAGATAATTCAAATTTGTATTGTAGTACTAGTTCAAAATTTATATTCTTTTTCATTATTTCAATCTAAAAGTATTGAAGATTTTTTCAATATATTCAAAAAACAAAACATGATAAGACATTCCTATAATGAATGATATGTTCGCACTAGTCGGTTCTACATATCTAGTAAAATGATTCACGTAAGTATAATAAACATTGGTCTGCAGTTCAACATGGCTTAGAAGCCCATGTCATCAATGCATTTCAATATTTCAATTATTCTAGCAATAGGTTACAATAGATCGAACCATTCTTTAGTTTGGTTTTCGGCAGGAAATCAAATGTACGAGATCTTTGAAGACTAGCGCCATCTATGGTTAATATATTCTATTCATGTATTTTGCTACCAGTATAGTATAAACAAAGAACAATATTGATTTATTTTATTGGTACACAAAATATTTTTTTTTTAAAAGAATATGGCAACTCGAACATCAACTCGATCAACAAAAGCCGTAAAATTTGTCGATTCAGCTGAATCAGATGATGATGATGATTTAAATAAACCTTCTTCACTACCAATAACTACTGAAGGTAAAAAACCTCGAGGTCGACCACCGAAAACTCGTCGAAATCAAACTAATGATGATGAAGAATGGGATGCAAGAAACGAACAAATCGAAGATGAGGAAGACAATGACGATGATGATAATACAAGTGAAAACGGACGAGATGTTACAAAAAAAAATCATGCTAATAGAACAATAGATTCAGTTTATGACTTTGGGTAAAGACAAAAAAAGAATGAATTCTTCTATAGACAAAACAAAACATTTGATTCTTTTTTTATTAAAGTGAAACATCAAGAAAATGGCAAAAAACCACACCACAAAGAAATAGTACTGTATCGAAAACAAGTGTGAGTGATAGTGGAAAATCTATGGAAAAATTAATGTGTTCGTATTGGTAAGATATTTCAAACGAAAAAAGACCGAGTCGTTTAATTAATAGAGATTATGTTTAGTAATTATACAACAATGAAAAAATATCTTCTTCAAAGGCATTTAAAATCTCATTCAACTGAACGACCACATAAATGTATAAATTTTAAATAGAAAATAATAACAAAAACTTGTTTGTTCTTTTTCAGGTGCATATTGTGATCGATCATTTAAGACAACTATTCAATTAACTAATCATGTTAATACACATCTTGGTGTTAAACCATTTCAAGTAAAATTTTCTTTAGAAAAATCTTCAAATGAAAAAGAAATATCTTTGTTGCTATTTTACTAGTGCAAATTTTGTTCGTTTTCATTTACAACAAGTGGAGAATTAATTCGACATGTTCGATATAAGTAAGATTACAGAAAAAAATGATTAAATTGTTTTTTTTAAAAAGAAAATTATTTCTTTTCTCTTAGACATACACTTGAAAAACCACATCGATGTGACGAATGTGGTTATGCAACAGTTGAATTAAGTAAATTACGACGACATATTCGTACACATACTGGAGTATGATTCATAATTTCTTACTTTGCTTTTTTATTTGTTTATATATATATGTATATGTACAGGAAAAACCTTATGCATGTCCGCATTGCTCATATTGTAGTCCGGATACATTTAAGCTTAAACGACATCTACGTGTACATACAGGTAAGAGATAAAAATGATTCTTTTTTTAATTAATTGAAAATGGCTGTTTTTTAAGGTGAAAGACCGTATCAATGTACGATTTGCAATTTTCGATTTACTCAAAGCAATAGGTAAGTTTGTTAATAATTACTATTAATAATTGAGTTTACATGGAAAAAATTGATTGATAGTGATAATAGACTCAGTGGATTTCATGAGATTTGACAATAAAAGTTTCGATGAAAGAAGAATGATTTTAATAAGAAATATTTTTTTTAAATTGATTCGTTTATCTTCATCGATCATAATTACAAATAACTTTTTCTTATGATTGTATACATGACGAATCAGTTTTCTCATGAGGATTTGATATATATATATATATGTGAAGGAACAAAGAAGAATATCCTTGACTTTCGACCACATTACATAGTTAGGTGCTACCTAACGGTAGATTCAATAACTCGATATCTTTCGTACAATTAATACTAGCTGTAGCTCTGTACAGAAGGCTAGCTTGATGCAAAATTCTTCATACACACTCACAAAGTTCATATTAATCGGAAGGACAGGTCTTTGTAAAAACGTAGCCAGCATGCTATCGGAAGGATGATCCAAGAAAAAGCAATCATTAGTGACTTGTCAAGGATTCATTTCATGACTGTTGATGCGAAAAATTGAGCATAGTACCTGATGGATTCGTGTCAAATAACGTAACCAGTCAGCTATGGAGGCTATTTATATATATATGTATGAAACCTAATATTTATTGCCATGATCGTAAAAGTGAATTATTCTGACAGAAATCTTGAGGCATAGTCATCAAATTTAATAATAAATGAGAATAATTTCTCACTACTTGACGCAAGATGATGTCCGATTTTCACCATACACTAAGCATCAACAAATTTACAATTAAATAAATTCTTTTTTATAAGTTAAAGAAAGAAAATAAAAATAAAATCAAGCTTATTTTTATTATCATAGCTTTGCTGCCCAACAAAGAATGAGTCAAGCTGGCTGCTTTTCAAATTGTTATTGTCTATCTCTACATCCCATTGAGAAACATTTCTATATGAGATTCCATTCCCTAGTCTGATCGATCTAAATATTCAGAGCAGTTATGAAATGAAAATCAAGTTTGTCTTTTGTTGGCGAATGTTTTTTTTATCATATTATATGTTTCAAAATTTGTGCATTTCTTATTATTCAACATTATTATTATCAGTAAAATTTTACACGAAAAAGTACATTTTCTATTTATTAATTATTAATTTTATTTAGTTTAAAAGCTCATATGTTAACACATCAAGCTGAAAAGCCGTCATTTCCTTGTTCGTATTGTCCATCAGTTATGGCTCGAAAATCTGATCTTCGTTATCATGTTAGTAAACAACATTCCCGTCAATCAGAACCGTTATCATGTAATAAATGTGATGAAGATTTTCCTGATAAGTATGTTTTTTTTCTCTTGATTTACTCTTGTTCAATCTAAACTAAAACAAAATATTTTCAAATTAAAGATATACATTACGTATGCATGGAAAAACTCATAAAGGTCAAACAATTCATTCATGTACACATTGTGAATTTTCTGCTAATACAAGTCAGCAATTAGATGATCATATGAATAAGCATCGTGGTACACGTCCATTTCAATGTAGTGAATGTGGTTTAATGTTTGCTGCTCGTGCTGATTTACGTGCACATGTTACACGTACACATAGAAATTCTTCAACAACAACAACAACAATAATAAATTCCCCAACAACTAATAATCGTCGTCCACAACGGCGCGCAGCATCATTACAACATCGTTATATAGGTGTTTCATCAGGTGTTGAAGATGATGAGCAGCAACAACAACAAGAACATGATGAAGATTATCGTTGTTCAATATGTCAACGACAATTTACATCGGCACGTTTATTAGATCGACATACATATGCTGTACATGAACAAAAACATGACTTATATGATGAAAGAGATTATCAAACAAATGAAATAAATGATGATGATATACATGATTATGCGGATGATGAACTTGAAGAAAAAAATGAACATAAACTAATTGATAAACATGAAAATATCATTGAAAGAATGGATGAAGATTATGATGAAGAAGAAGATTTAGCGCCAAATGTTGAAGATATAATTGAAGGTGATGAAGATATGGAACCAGTACCAACAATTAAATCCGTATCATCAGCGAATAAAAAACAAATTGGATATATAAGAAAATTTGATGAACAAGAAGATTTATCTGAACAAAGAAAATTTAATATTGATAGAAGTATGTAAATTAAATGAAAATATATTTTTTTCTCATTTAAATTTTTTTTCTTATTTTTATTTTAAAGCTTCATTTAAACCCAATGAAGATGAAAAACCGGATTTTGATGTATTTGGTTTTGATGGATAATTTGCTTGTTCTTTTATTTATATATAATCACTTTTTTTTTTTCTTTTTTTTTGTTTGTTTTGTTTGTTTGTATTCATTTATTAGTTATTTTTTGTCCGTCTTGTTTATTAGATATTTATCTCACCGTATTCGTTTATAACGCATATTTTGCGTGTAGAAATTTTTCTTTTTTCATTTGTTTGAGAGATAATATATTATATTGTATCCGAGAATTGAATTTTTTTTTTTTGTTTTTTTAGTGAGAACATCAATTGAGAATGAAATGATAAATGGATTATAATGTTTATATTGTAGATTTTATTTATTGATCAATGGATTATTGTGATATTATATCAAATTAATATACGACGTAAAGATCAACATTTTTTCTCTGTTTTCTTTTCTTTTTAGATGGCTGGAATAAAACTTTTTAGCATTACTAACATCACAATACTTATATTCATCATTTATCTTTCTTATACAGCTAATACATTTTATTCAATGTTTCGTCCACCAATATGTAAAAGTAATAATTGTCTTTCACCACATATAAAATCATCATCGAATAAAAAACTTAAAGTAAATTTAAAAATGAAAATCTAGTTTCATTTTTTTTTCTAATTTCATTTAATTTCATAGTTATATAGTTGTTTATCAATAAGTTCAAATCAACCTCGTTCAATGACGGATTCAAAATGTGTAAAAATGTTAAATTTAGATAATTTTACAATAAATCAATCATTTGATGAGTAAAATTTTTAAATTAACCCAATTCTTTATTATTCTTGGTTTTATTTTCTTAATTAATAGAACAATTCATATACCATTAGTAAAACAATTTCGACAAAATACAACATTTTATATACATTTTTATATTTATGATGGTTTTGATCCATTTCAAGATCGAGCACATATTTATCGTCAACGATTAATATCAAAATATCTTATTCCACAACAAAATTTTATTAATCTTTTACAAGAAAAATTACCTTCAACTCTAACCGGTATTAATGAACAAAATCAAGTTTGTTTCTAAACATATATATTCAATACAGAGAAAAAAAACACGGAAAATCAAAAATTTATTTTTAGAATAAATCAATTAATAATTCATCAAACATTCCTATAACTCATATTTTAAAAAGAATTATATTTCATGGTGTTAATCAAGATATTATATTTGATAGATTGGACATTCCACCAGAACTTTATCATTTACTGACGTAAGAAATGTTGCCTTATTCATTTGATTGTTTGCACTGTTTCTTTTTAATATGATTAGTCTGTATTCTCAAACAACTTACGGGCCTTTAATTAGTTCAGATGAATTAACTACTCGTCTTCGAGACCATCAAGTAAGTTAAATTCAATTCAATAATTAATTATTTCATGTTAAAGTCACGAATCTTGTTGGAAATTTTTTTCCCAGGTCACTCAAGCTTAAACATTAAATAACATGCATAATTACTTCTGACGGACAATATCGGAAAGGTTTTAGACACAATGTTTGTTCGCTTTTGATGCGCTAGAGAGTATTTCTAATGAGTCAAAATTTATGAGTTCGAATGTTTTCTTCAAATATGAACTATGAAATTTTGTGTCTATTTTGGTTCAAAAGTAATGAGGAACTTTTTGAAAGACCTAAAAAATTAAGTTCAATGATGATCTGATAGTTTTTTGTTTAATCTATAGGCCGCTTTTTGAACATAATAAAAATTGTTGGACTCAGTCGTTGAGTAGAATGGATACTTCTCTACAACATGCAATATTGAACAAAGCTGTAGCTTTTCCACAATTGAGATTACAAGTATTTTTCTCAAGAGATTTTCGCAACGTAAAATGGTTCGTCGATTTTTCAAAAATGAGTATTAAGGAAAAATAAAATTTCAAATGTCTTGTCGAAAGACAAGACATACGGCAAATAGCGCATTTTGTGGAATAGCTTCTCATTTACAAGCTGATATGTAAATAAAGAAACCAACGTTTGTAAACTAATTTTTTTTGACCTTTCAAAAGTTATTTTGCTACTCTCAAACAAAAATTGAGACAAAATTCCTAAACCCACATTCGAAAAAAGCACAAATTCATCGTTTTTGATTCCTTCGGAGTAGTTTTCCACTGAATCAAAAAAGAACAAATATCTTGCCGTAAAACTTTCCGATCACCCGTTCTATCAACTAAAACCGCTTGAACATTAGGGTCTATCGATATAATTCAAAATCTCAATGAAAATCATTATCTAACGATGCATGTTAGTTTTCTGAAATTTTGTAGTGTTTATACATGACAGAGTGATATTTTAGTAGTGAGAATAGACTGATAAAAATGACTTGTTATGAATAAAGAGATGCTGCATCATGTTTACAGTTATTTTGAACTATTTAGTTTATATTTCTTAACGAATAACTCAAGTTATTCTTCTACTCTCTTTTTAGAAGACTGTTAGAAAAATGTTTATTTGTTTTTGATTACGACCATGACCGCAATACAGATTACTACTAGTTGAGAATTAGCCTACAAGAATGTTCGCGTTCGATGTTATTCTGTTTTTTTTTCGATATGAGTTTCAGTATTTGTATTATTCTTTTTTTTATTCAATCGTTATTCTCTGATAAAATTTATTGTTCTTCAAAACATTTTGAATGACACATATGACTATTAGTATTTATTATGATACTATGATTGAAATTGAATTTTGATTTTCATGTTATATAGTATCTTTTTCAATTTGTTTCTTATTTAGCCAGTGAATGTATCAGATGATAATATTGAATTAAAACTAATTTATACTCCTATATCAATTGGTCGCATGAGATTATGGATTAATTTTGAACGAGCACTTGAATCTACACGATCATATGGATTTTCAGATAAAGAAATCGATGAAATAAAAGGTATTTTTGCTGATAATAATTTACCAATATTGGCATTAACATTTGTTGTTGCTGCTTTTCATGTAAGAATTTTCTTGTTTTTGATATTGGTTAAAATCAACAATAAGCTTGTTTATTTTTCTTTTACGAAGACTTTATTTGATTTTTTGGCTTTTAAAAATGATATAAATTATTGGAGACATCGAAAAACAATGGTTGGATTATCATTACGAACAGGTTAATCAAAATCAATTAATAAAGATTTATTATTATTTTTGTTGTTGTTGTGTTTTAGTTGTATGGCGTTCAATTAGTAATGTCATTATTTTTCTTTATTTACTTGATTCTGGTGCAAGTTTGCTAGTTCTTATTCCATCTGGAATTGGTTCATTAATTGAAGTAAGTTAGACAGATATCAAATATTAATTTATTTTGATTATTATTTAGATTTGGAAAGTAACAAAAGCATTAAAAATTAAAATTCGATTTAATGGCTATAGACCAGTGATTACCGTACGTTATAAATAATTAATTTTTTAAAAAACAATTTTTATATTTTAGTTTGGAGAAGTATCAAAGGAAGAAGCTGATACAATGTTACATGATTCAACGGTAAAAGAATAAGATTAATTATTGATGTGAAAATTATATTTTTTAGGCTATGCGTTATTTATCATATGTTCTATATCCACTTTGTATTGGTTTGGCTGTTTATTCACTTATTTATAATAATCATAAGAGGTGATTTACAGGATGTTCCAAAAGTTTAAATGAAAAGAAAAAACATTGTAGATAAGTTCTCAGCTATTCAAGAGGTTTAAATATTTTTTTACAGTTTGTTCACATGATGTGAGATCTTAATCCCACTTATACTTTATTTTATAACTAAAACTATCTCCAAAAATTCCAAGCAACAACGTAACGTTATATATAGAGTGATAAAAATGATTGGAAAATCCCAGAAACGATGAACAAAGAGAAGAACAAAAGGATAGGAAAAGTCCAACATATATGACAGGAAAGAAAAACTCCATAGTGCATGACTAATAATAAGAGAAAAGAAGAGGAACATGAGTGAATATTTATGATCCTATAGATAAAGAGAGAAAATCCTTATGACTGCATCTGAAGACGACGCAGATCATAACACATAATTATTAAAGTTTTTAGATCGAATGTCTGTGCCTGCAGAAGTTTAAATTAAAGTAGTTTTATTCATGGATAATTTCGAGTGAGTTACAATTGTAAAACAAACACTTCAAGTTGAATTCAGCTAAAAGTACACCAATTGAATCCTGTGTTAGAACCACATTTCAGCAATTTTGTGAAATCAGTGATATTCTGAAGTAACTACACCAATTACTGAAGAAAAATCAATGAAGTTAAAGATACTTCCAAAAATGAGTCAGAAACAAGTATTTAGTCTATTGCACAAGTTTTCTTATTACCACAAACAATAATATATCCGGTTATGACGGAATATCTCTTATTAAACTCACAGACGGCACAATTAGTTGAACAATTCTACAGAAAAGAGTTACTTAAACCAAACACTTGATCCTGGCTTATTTTTACATTTCATCGATTTTATCTTCAGTGATTACTCTACAGTCATTGATTTTCGATAGTACTGATTTTGCAAAACCGCTGGAATGTATTTCTAATGCATTGTTCAGTTGACGTTTTTCTTTCAAATTCAATTTCTAGATACAGTTTTACAATGTTGGCCTGTTCGAATTTTGCCATGAGTAAAATTATTTAATTTCTGACTTTTGCAGACATTTTATCTAAAAATTTTAGTAAATATGTGATCAAACTGTAAAAAAAATATATTTAAATCCCTTGAATTGTTGAGGAGCTATTCACATTTTTTCTCTTCGTTCGGACTTTTGGAAAATCGTGTATTAAGCAACGAAAACAGATGATAAAGAAAAATAATGTTTGATTTTTAGTTGGTATTCATGGATAATTAATTCACTTGTTAATGGAGTTTATGCTTTTGGGTTTTTATTTATGATGCCTCAATTATTTCTCAATTATAAACTTAAATCTGTTGCTCATTTACCATGGAGAGCATTCATGTATAAGGTAAATTTGAACAAAAACAAATTTCAAAAAAGAAAAATTTTATTTTGAAATAAATAGGCATTCAACACATTTATTGATGATCTCTTTGCATTTATTATTACAATGCCAACAGCTCATCGGCTTGCATGTTTTCGTGATGATTTTGTTTTTCTTATTTATTTATATCAAAAATGGTAAGTTAGTATTTTATTATAAAAGAATTATTAGAAAACCATTTATGTGTCAAAAGTCAATTTGTCTAATTGAGAAAATGTTGGTTTTTTTGAAGGTTAATGAATTCTTTTATAATGTACATGGAGATAATTCTTTTTCGATTGCATGTTTAATATTGTCATCGACTGACTGATTTACGAAGATAAATCTAACCGGTAGAAAAATTAAAACATTTAATACATAAAAGGATTTCCTAATTAAAAAGGAAAGAAACAAGCTTATTGAACGTTGAAAGATCTTTAATTTTTTTAAAGTTATTTGTTACTTCTGGTATTCTCATTCAACTGAATAGGATATGTTTTAAATCGTTTGTTGAGATTAAAATTAGACAAAGACTTTTTGGTGTCAGCTCTAATCTTGAGAAAAAACATGATCGTATAGATTTTACAAAAAAATAAGTAAGACACTTAATATTTTATGATTAATTCGATTATTTAATGCTGTTTCATATACGAAATTTATGGTAAAATGTGATTGATTTTTCTTTTCAGGCTTTATCCAGTTGATAAAACTCGAGTAAATGAATATGGTGAAGCATTTGATGAATCGACGAAACGAAAAACTGAATAAAAAAAAATACAAATCACTATGAAACAAAGTTCGAGTGAAATGGAAAATTTCTTTTTTTGTTATTTTCTATTTCTTTTTCTCGTATGCAAATCAAGACAATAAAAAGAATGATTTTGTTATACATAAATGCAATAATTTATTTTCTTTTTTAGATTTGTTTTCTTTTTTCTTTCAATTGAATAATGTTGTTGTTACCATTAGGATGAGCTCAGCCAATTCGTTTCTTTCATCAACAGCTTATCACGCTTCGAATGCTCGATATGCTAGTTCACAATCACCATCATCAACATCATCTTCATTTAATATTCTTTCAAATAGTGTTCAACAACAATTAAATGATTTAAATTCTACACGTTCATCAACATCATCATGTTCAACATCTCATTGTTTAAGTAATCAATGTATTGAATGTACAACTATACTTTCAACAAGACCAACACAATCAAGATGTAATCTTAATTCTTATATTGATCAATCATCAAATTCATCTCAGTATGATTAAAATATTAGACATATAAACAATTACAAAAAACAAAAGCTTTTTCTTTTCTCTTTAGCTTTGTACAAAATTGTTCATGTGTAACAAATTCAACCTTAGATAATCATTCACAAATATCAACAATTGATGAACAACAATCAACAAGAATTTTATCAATGAATATTCCAGTTGATAATAGTAATAATAATCGAAATGATAATCCAATAAATTCTTCATCATTAAATATTGAAATTGAAGAAGAAGATGATGATGATGATCAAAGAATTCATCTATTAAATGAATATAATGATCAAAATGAACAATTAGAAGTTTTTGTTGGTTTCTATCGTCCAGGAGAATATCAACGCGAGACAATAGAAGATGATGATGATGATGATGATGACCATGATGGAAGTGAAATAAGTCATAAATCGGATGTACAAAAAAAAGAAGAACAGGTTTGTATAAAATAAGTTTATTTTTAAATCTACCGATTCTTCACATTTTCATTATATCTCAATTCGGTTTGGTACTTTTATAATAACAGATGGCTGAGAAGTTTCGACTGATTAAGATGGTCACCATTAATTATGCAATATTGGTTAAAAATCAATATTTTGTGCTTTTTCTGCATCTAGACTCTTAATAATTATTAGACTCATATTTTTGGCGGGTTATGAGTAAATCTTTGAAATATTTGAAAATAAACTTTGGACAGATTTCAGAGCGTAAAGAAAGCAACGTACAGATTAGAAGCAAAAATTTGTCTCAAATACATTGAAAGAAAGAGAAAACATTTCTCTATGAAATCATTAGTCTTCTACAAGGTGTCTCCCAACAAAGAAACTGTCGACGAGGGATACAGTGACATAATCAAGATTTTTTGATCTTCAGATTCACAAAATGCATCCGATTGTTTCTGGAAGATTGCTTCAAGAACCTTGGTTCTTAAGGCACTTTCTAGAACACAGTCTCGCTTGCCATACAGTGCAAAAGCCGCTATTAAAATATATGCATAAGCGACCATAATTTGTTGAGAAGAATATCTGCTCTCTAGTCAATGATCTAAAATATATTCAACAATGTGATGCTGTCAAACGAGAAGAAATGAGACTTAAACAAAAATCGGCATTTCTACACCAAAAATACGAAAGCATTGAAAAACATCATCGAAATAATTTCAAACGGAAGATGGCGGTCGCATTTTCTGTCTATGAGTGTGTTGTTTACAGCTGTCTTCGTCTAAACTTTATTTTCACATCTTGCAAAGATTCGCTCATAATTCCTAAAACATAAATTTAGTGAATATTTCGAACTTAGATTCGGAAAGAGCATGAAATTTTGATACTAGACCAATATTTTATAGATTCAGTTGATCATCATAATGGGTCGAAAAATGAAGAAACATTTTGTCTTAAAACTTTCCGTCTATCCCTTATTTGCAAATGATAAAATCAAAGAACAATAAGAGCATAGATTAATTCATCTTTTGTCTGTTATAATTTATTGAGTACGTCACACAGAATATTCAAGTATACTTAAATATTTTATACATGTCAGTTCATGAACCAAGTTGATATTGTAGTTTAGATACATCAATTGATTTTCAATTGAATAAAACACAGAAAGATATATTAAAAAGAAGAATTGTTTGTTTGATTCTTTCGACATGGAGAAACAGGTTGACTGAATTTTGAACAAGGCTTATATTTCAATTTTTTTTTTCAATTTTTGAAAAGTTTGCTTTTCAAATAAATCCTTTCAATAAGTTTGCTCATAAGAAAACTTTTTCCTCAAAAAATTGATTAATATCAATTTAAATCGAAATAATCAATAACAAAAAAACAGGAAAATTCAAACGAATAAATACAATGTATATTTTAGTCAACTCGAGAATTAATCAGTGATGAAGATGAAGGTAATGAAGATCAAGATTTTATCGATGAAGATCTATGTCCTAATCAAGATGAAGATACTGATCAACAACAACAAGATAATGAAATCATAAATGAAGAACAATTAAATCCAAATATTCTTCATAATGATCATCAACAATTTGAGCCTGATCAACAAAATCCATTTCCTATAGTTATTGTACAAATAGATGAAGATGAAGATCAAGGTTTTGGTGCACAATTTAATGATGATTGCCAATCAAGTGATGATGAAAATAATCATGTATCAACAATATCATTAAATAATAATAATAATAATAGTAATAATGAAAATGAAATTGAATTAATATATAGAAAAAAAAAATTTCTTCAACGTTCACTATCAGATTCAGAATTATATAAATATAAATGTCAAACATTTCTTTCATTACCATCTTTATCAATAAATTCAAGAAATCATTTTGAAAAAATTGAACATATTATTATTGATGATCAACAACCAACAACAACAATGTCAAATTTAATTATTAAAAAAAAACAAGACGATGAAAATGATCATTTATTTTTACGAAGAAAAAAAATTTTAAGAAAATCATCAGAAGAAATTATTGAAATATCAAATCAAGAATCTTTTCTACAGGTAAACATTTTTCGAATGAATTTTGCTTAATATCTTAATTGAAATTAGGTTTTTAAGACAAGAGTTGACGAAGCTGTTCGTGATGTTGAACGTCATGTTATGCTATGGGATGATGATCATGCTAGACAAATCGATGCTCAATCATCAGTGCAACAAATTGTGGTAAAGAAATTTTAGAATGTAATACAGAAAATTTTATTTTGGATTTTTAGCAATATTTTCAATTAAATATTGATATTAATGAAGATCAACAATCGAAAGTATCATCTATTCGAAAGGAATTATTACTTGATTATCTTCAATATAGAAGTGAAGCTGGTAAGAAATTAGTAAATTTCGAGAGAACCTTTTTTAATCAGAATTTCAAATCATAGGTTTCTCATACTGAATAAATGATATAGGCATTGTTCATAGAAAGTTCTCGTCGAACTAATATGAGCAGTTGATTCGACTAAAATTCTTTACCATCAAGAAGAAAATAGATATGCAACGGCATCTGTCCATTAGTCAAGTTATTGAATACATGACAGACCTAGAATGATGATGATCATCAATAATGTAAATGATTACTTTTCGCTCTCGACTCGTCACGTGGTCATTGATAAATAGGTCTTAGTTATATCTTTCATTTAAAAACGTTAGATTTGACCATTAAAAAAAATGTTCTGCTTGAAGAGCTCTTTAACACTATTTATGACACATGCTCTTTCGAAGACACAATCTTGAGTACTTGAAAAATCATCTTGTACATATTCTCGCGTTTTAGTAAGAATAGAGATACTCAATCAAGCAGTAATGCGCATTGAGTAAATGTAAAAGTTTCTATAATGGAGAATTCAATTCTTATGTCTAAATTTATAGCCTTAGTTTACAGACTTATTTTCTTAGAAGATAAATGGCAGATTTAAGGAATTGAAAATTTCTATCAATTCATCAAAACTACTGAATCAAAATTATTTCTTCTATTGAACAGAGAAGAAATTAATTGTAGTATGAAGAAACAAGATGACTACGCCATGTCAGAATTTCATCATTTTTGTGAAACACAATCAAAAAAGAGTGTTGAAATGCAATAGTAACAATTTGAGCGCCCACCTCATCACACCATAGATCCTATATGGATAAAGCCTCGTTATAATATATGAACTATTGCGTTTTCGCATTTCTCAAAGATTAATTAAAAAGATAGTGAAGAAATGCGTTCCAACATAGATAGAACAATATAATCCCCTTGTGATTAGCAACAACAATTATATCGTGTTTCACATTTTAAGCTCGTAGGGATTGCAATAATAGGTCTCTTATAATATATTATTTAATATTAATTATGCTATTATGCAAACAGTGAAGATATATATATAATTTATTTTAGACATATCTGCAAATGACTTACATGAAAATCTTCTTCAATATCCGGAATATTCTTCTCATATACATTGCCGATTTTTTCCATTTTGGCCACCACGAGATGTTGATTTATTACAATGGCTTTCTCATTGGATTAAACAAGGTAAATAATCTTTTTTTTCTATTCAAACATCTCATACTTCATACTATTTTTGTTTTCGTAGGTGCTCTACCTATCGCAATAATGAATATGGATCATTATCATTCTCAAAAAATCAACTTCTATAGTACACCCTCATCTTGGCAACATCGTATAATTTATGGTGTTGAACCTCGTGGAATATATCTAATGAATCCAATACAAATTCAATCTCCTCAACAAGTCTATGAACAATTAACTGTTGATTCAGTAACATATATCATACGTCAAGAAATTGTTCAACGTTATAATCAATCTCCAATGTGTTTAACACCATTAGCAATAAATAATAATAAATCAATATTGTTTTCAGATACAAGGTGGCGTACAATGAATGTTCTTGGACAAGTTGTTAACGTTTTACGTGAAGATCGTCAATTAAATGAAAATGAAACACGCAATATTCCATATCGTCCAACCGTAACACATGTTCGAATACCATCAACATGTTCATCCGGTATACTGATATTTTCAAAAGATTATAATCAATTAATAAATGCTATAGACTTACCATTAAGACAATAAATCTATATTTTAAATTTCTCTATTCATTGTAAATTGTTTTTTTTTCTTTTTATTTTGCTAGTTTACACCGGTTGTCTGTATCTTGGAGCGATGTTTGTTTTTTTTTTCAAGATGGAAATTCAATATTATCATTGTTCATTATTTCAAATTTTCATGTTTTCATTTACTGTATAGTAGTACTATGGGAATGACAAATAATGATTTAATATGGACTAAAAATGGGGAAATTTAGTTCTTTTATTCAATGAAAATTTTGTCACTTAAGTCTCAATAGATTACGAACATAGACATTTCTTGTACTTTGATAGAAAGATATGAAGAAAAATGTTAGGATTTTAAATCTATTCATTACACAATTTCAGTTGATTTCTATGAATGATAGAAGCATTGCAGGCAAAGGATCTCTCAGTTGTTGTCTAACTATATTCTTTAAATGACAATTTTCTTCATCATTAAACCTCATTTGGCGTAACAGAATAAATGTTCTTTGTAGGTCAAAGCTTTGATGAATGTCCTAGAATGAATAGATGCATGAAATGAGAATTGTCAGTATGATCGATAAGTTTCGATATCAACTGAAAAATTTCTTTGTCATTGTTTTTTTAATTCTTTAGTGAATTTCATTTGATGAAATAAAAAAAAAACAGAAAATTCGTTATTATTCTATTAGATATTATTTTTTGCTGAATGGCAAAATCTAAATTTTTCTCTTTGGCCAATTAAATTCTCACTACTCTCTGAAAAATAATATTTGCTTATTCGAATTACATGATAGTTATAGTAACATTGGTTTTCAAAACTGACATAAAAAAATATTTGACTTTCCTTTTGTATTGACTTGTATAAACTCTTTGAGTAAGAATATTGGGTAACTTGATTACATAGAGTCTAGACATAATCTTAAGTATAAATATAATTTAATACAAAAAGCTAATTGATTTTGTATTCAAATTCGATATATTGTGTAAATATGAGATATGATGCTTTAATCATGCAAAAGATCATATATATATGTACCCGTCATGTCAAAATTATTGTTCTAAACCATATGTGTATTAAACAATAATTAAGAACAAATAATAGAAAATCTTACATTTAAAAAATTGAAAAAGAATCTTCTATTAAAAAACATGAAGTAATTATATATGAGAGTACATAGCTGTTTTGATAGGGATGCATCACTTGATCATTTTTTTGTCGAAGAAATTCAATAATGTTTACCTTGGACTAATGATTTGATATATAAATAAAAGATACATTTGCTAACACTTTTAGATTGTCATAATAATTAGCACAAATATCAACAATAATATATCTTTTTCTTTTTCTATTATTTTTTATACAAAAAAAAAAAAAAGAAATCTCAAAATAATTAAACAGAAATCTTAATGATATCTTCTAATGACACTTTAGATTTATCGAAATGTTTCTTTTTCTGAACACATCTATAATTTTAACCATGTCTTTACAACCGTTACTAATCATTTAAGACATAGCAAAATAGAACTACAGTAATAGTACCGTTATTGCCCAAAAAAATCAAGTTACATTCTACAAAAGAAAACATGATTGTCTCCAGTGTCGGAATTATCAATTTTTGTATTGTATCATTCAATAGAATAATAAATTCAGATCTGTTCAGTTGTTAAACGTTTTGTATTTTTCAATAATTTCGATAATACGAAAGCATATCGAACAGTAAAAATCTAAAATAAATTAAAAAGAAAAAAAAACCATCAAAATTTTTTTCAAAGTCAAACAAAGTTACTTGAAGTAATAAAGCTGTTAGAAAGATAATAATAAAAATTATAGCAACAATTATTCCTTTAACAAAACCTAAACGTGATGTTGCAACAATAATTCCAATTAGAATAACCATAGCAATAGCTAGTATTAAAAGAAGGGATACAGAACCAAGCCAAGCAAACTAAATAAAAGCAAAAAGAAAATATTCCTGTGTAAAAAGAAAATGATCACATACGACAAGTAAACCTGTTTGATAATAACGATATGTTACTAATAATCCAAAACTATAATAAACAATATAAATAAGAATCGATACTAATTGAGCACTATTATTGGGAAGTTGACTTTGAAGTGAGTTTTTAGCTGCATATGAATGAAGAATAAATATAAAATATATCAAACCAAGAACCTTAAAAAAATATTCATTAGATATATAAATTGCGTCTATTATTAACTACTAACAAGTAATATGCCAATTAAAATAAGAAGAATTTTTCGTGTTCGATTAACAACAGGGTCATGTAATAGTGATGAAGATATATTAAGGACTATAGAAACATCGGTCATTGATGTTTTGTCCGTCAATATTTCACTTTGTTGTTCCATCTGTATGCGTGTTTTTCTTCCCTATGTGCAGATAAATTGATTATTCGTATGGTTACAAATGATTGCAAAAGAAAAAAAAAGAACGAAGTTGTGCTTTCTCCATGTTATGTGTAGATTGACAAGAAGAAGAAAAAGAGAATAGTAGCCTACAAGGACTGTTTCATTGGCATAATATTGTAGATCATAAAATGACGAAAGAAAAAGAAACGAGAGAAAAATCTTAGCTGGAATAGAAGAAACATATATTCTTCTGATCTCTAAAAAAATTATCAGTTCTTTATGTAGTAAATATATTGTGATTGTCAAAGTTATGCCATTTTTTTTATTGATATTTTTATAAAGAAGATTTATTACAAAGTTTTATTAGCGAATAAGGAAAATTTAAAAGAGTTGTTTATCTTTCTATTCATTCCGCCTGAAAGAGTTTGTAAATACATCATTTATTTTGTCTGCTATTCTATAGAATGAAAGGTTATCAATATAACTGTATTTGATAAATATGATTGATGTTTTTACGAGTATTTCTAAGAAAAGGAAACCATTTAAAACGTTGTCTTCATTCAAATATTTATTTTGTGAATATTATATATTCAGTACTGACTTTCTTGGATACAAAAATATGAGTTCCATCGAAAATATCCTGACATTTAATCGACTCTATTCTATTGAGAAAGAGACAAATATAAGCAATATGTTAGCATAACGAGTTCCATCGTAAATAGTTTTGAGAGATATATTGCTTTATTTCATTATCTTGAGAATGATGATAGAATCTAAAATTGAGTGAATATATAGTCTACATAATATATACAGATGTCAAACATATGTTTTATAGCAAACTACTAACAACTTAAGTGAATTATTTTTATTTGCTTTAATCTATATAAGTTAGTTCTTTAAACATAGTAATAATTTTAGCTGATCTAATCAGTTACTACTTATAATGAGAGTCACAACTTTTTTAAGTTAAACGTACAATCGTTATCATCAGAACAAACTATCATATTAAACTAAATATGCGAATTTTTAAATTAAACGGATTATATGTTCACTATTCAAGTGAAACGGCTTATCATGAGCAGCTCAGATTATAACTAATGAAAAAAAGGAGAAATTATTCTTTTTTATGTTGTCACCTTTCATTAATCATCACATTTCTTTTGTTATTGTGCCTATTGTTCTGATATTTTTATATCGTACGTGCATGAGATATTGGCCATTAGAAGATCATTTGAGATGAATTAAGCTTTTGTTCTCAGTCTGCTAGTATTATACAGTATACTGCGTCATTCATCGTTCCTATATACTAAAACTAGCTTCTGCCTTTGGTATAAAGACATTCTCTATTGATGGTTGTCTTATCGTTTGACAGACGTATTCTTAGTATATTTGTGGTACAATACAACAGTTAACATCTTGATGGCATATTGAGTATAATTAATCAAATCGACAGAATATCCGAACATCGATAACATGAGACACACCATTCTGACATTAATAAAACAAGCCAGTACTTCTCTTATAACTATTCAATGACTAATTGAAATAATTCGACAGAATATAATACTGATAATAGAACTAACTCATAATTGTTGACAAAAGAAAAATAGAAATTATCCATTCGAAATCGATTATTAGTTACTCAAATAAATTCATAATTTATACAGCCATATAAGTTACGTGAAATATTTTTCGATTTTTCTTCATTAATAAATGAAAGAAAAAAGAAAATCATAAAGAAAAAGAAACACAGAATAACAATTAAGAACATAACATATCTATTAAAGATCTCTTCGCATTCATTGGCTGAAATCATTATTTCAAATCTATGGTTGCACTGACAATGCTAGTCTTTTATATTGAAGCTTCATTATGCAACCAATAAAAATGTCTGATTTTTAGCGGTAAAAATAGAACAAAAGAAATTCCAATGAAAATTGCTGCTGTAATAATGTTCCTGACTCAGTTGCAATATCGCTTTAGAGTCTGAATACTATTGATACGACTTCCTTTAAAGAAACTAGTTCAATTAATTAAATAAAAGAATATAATATTTTACTGATGTTCATATATTAAAATGAATAATTCTTACAAGTACTGATGAGTTACATTAAATCAGTCATATTATGAATTATCGAAATATCGAGCGACTTTCAAAGATGTTGAACACTCAGAACCAGTCTACTCGGTCCCAATAAGAAGAAGCACTTGAACAAGGTATGAAATTCGAACAATATTGTCTGGTGGATTAATTATAGTCTAGTAAAAGTTCACACATCTCTTTGTTTTGAGCACTAGCCAAATCTTAATTACGTGACAGAACGCTAAGCTTATCATATTGAAAGAAATACGTCGTAGTAGAGTGCAGAAGTGCCACAAGTTAAGAGAAAAACTAATGGAAGCTTCTAAATCGATATGATTGATTTTATTTCTATAGTAGACATTCCATGCGATACGTAATAGATAATTTTACTAACGACGGAAGGTTCCAGTCTGATTTCCCTGAGATTTCAATGGAAACTATATGGATTTATCAAGTCAAGTGCTCTGATCTCAATTATTGGAAAATGAGCAGCTGAGATTGATCCGATGAAAAATGCTGCAGTTAGCAGATTATTTTGACTAAGACCCTGATGAGAACAACAAATATCAATGTCGGTTCGATCTATGACTATGCAATC